CACACACACACACACACACACACACACACACACACACACACACACACACACACAAAGCGCTTCCCAATAAAAGGTTACTTGTCTGTGGGATACACTCAAAATTAATGTCCTGACATTAAGAAAAAACCCACAAAGGCTAATTAAATATTGTCTGATATTTTGTAGGGCATATGCAAGGAAAATCTCCCCTGAATGCTGACGCCTGGCTCGGCTGTGTAACTTCAGTCTCAGAAGGCAGGAGATAGTGAGGTGAGCAAGCTTGCTTCCTGCTTTGTGATTCTACTGGAAGCGTGTGCCTTTGCATGGGTCGCCACTGCCCTCTAGATGACTGCAGCGGAAAAGAAGGATGAAGCAGTTTTCATTTACAGAAGATGCTATTTTGGCATCATAAATGCCAGATTTGCTTATTTTGCAGCAGACACCAGTGAATTTGTCAAAAGTACAGATTATCGCCCGCTGCTGAAGGTGACTCTGGAGTGATAATGTTTTTTTTTTTTTTGCCTGTGTGTTTATGTTGGATTATGCTATGTTTAATATCTCATGAACTGCTGAATGAATTTTGTATTAGGTTAAAACCTACAGCTGATTACCTTTTAAACTCAACAGAGTTTAAGATGGCCACCACAGCTAACCGACCTTAAAACACACACACAAAAAAAGATAATTTAAGCAGTTTAAAAGATATTGTGGTCAAATTTAGTGTGGTAGCTGAGACTGATCCCCAGCATGTACACTGTGTGAAAAATTGATGGAGCAATGTATGTGTTTAAACTTCCCTACGTGTACTGAAAATTAACTCTGTCTGTTCACAAAATATCTCATTAACCAGAAGATGTATTGTAATGAAACTTTCAGAAAGTAATCATTATGTTGACATTTATAACTGATTAACTTTTAGACTGAATCCAATTTGACTTGGCTGCCACAGCCAACTGAACTTAGAAAACAAAAAATGGCCATAACACAGCTATTTTAAAGTATATTRAGCTAGAATTTGGTGTGGTAGTAGCTGGACATTCTCCTCAATATAAACACTCAGTTCAGTAACTTGTGCAACGGTGTTCAAAACCTTGGCAACTTTTAACGTTTCCAGATAATTCTGTTTGTCTTTTAGAAAAATATCTCCTGAAGCACTCAATGGTTTCCAGTTAAACTAATAAAGCGTAATCATTGTATGTACTGTCAAAATAAGGTGAGATCAATCCATGCCCTTGCTGTGATCATCCTATTTTTTTAACATTGATGTAACGCTGAAATAACATAAAGAGGAAATAAAGGTTTAGAAGACACAAAGAAAAGAAAATAACTTTTTTTGTTCATGTGTTCATGTTAAAGAGGATGATTTTCTTTTTTTCTTTTTTGTCACTTCAGTAGAAAACAAAACCAAATATTATTAGTTTATTTACTTTATTTATGTCTTCATCATCAGTGACTTTGTTTAAAGTGAAGAGAAAATAGAGACAGAGAGAAAAACAGAGAGAGAAGTAATTAGAAAGGTTGAAATAGCGATTAGAAGTATGTTAAATATACACCAAGAAAACACAGGACCACACACCCAACATCTGTCCGCTCACCTGAAAAATAAATGGATAAATACATGGAGGGCATATATAAATATATACACATACCCATACATATTTAAAGATATACATACATACATGCCTACATTCATAAATATTGTCAGTATATACACACAGACATATATACTGTATACACTCAGTGACCAGTCAAAAAGAGGATGATTTTCTTAAAATATGTTCTACTTAACTATTGTAAAAACAAGTAGAGAAAAGTAAAATATAGGAGAATGGTTTGTTTTTATTTTTACATAGTTATAAACATTAATACGTGAGTGAGAAAAGGATTTTAACACATAAAGACATTAACAAGTGATTCACTTTAAGAGTGATTCAAAATGGCCACTACACAGGCTTACACAAAAATGGTTATAACTCAGTGAATTTTCCACATATTAAGCCACAATTTGGTATGATTGTATCTGACAGTCATAATAGAAACGCTAACCCGACATCAACATGGGAGATAATGCAATATCTCATGAGATTAAACTTAATGTTATTTTCAAGGCTTGACCAAAACAGCTATAATGTCTTCATTTCAAAGCATCCTAAATTAAAACTCTGGCATAACTGTGGTGGGCAATATGTATTTCTTGTAGCCTTTAATTGTAAAACTGATACAAAAACTGTACGGATCTAAACAACCAGCAAGTGCAAGCAATCTACTTTTCTGAGCACCCAGTACCAAAATAAGTTGTTCAAATCCAAATGGATATTAAGATCTTCCATATCCCGGCCATAGACAGATACTGATGACCTCGCTCCAGGAGCTGAGCAAAGCAGTTTTAATCAGAGCAAAGCTTCCTTCACGCCCAGAGTCTTTTGAGGCTGAGGCATGCATGCAGCTTTAACAGCAAGTGGATAGTGGGAGGTGGCAGTGAAGCTTCACAAACTCCATATGCTCCCACTATGCAGCATTCTCTTTCAAGTGTGTCTGATCTTTAAAAAAAAGTGTGGTGCAGCCAGCACAGCATCAGAGGAGGCAGCCCTGCCCTGCAACAAGACTCACATGAAGGGGCAGTGATGAAGGATGAAGGGGAGTGAGCTGCCTGGGTGACAGTTACATAACAAATACTGTGTACATAGTACAGTAAGCTGTTGATTCTGATGCCTTCGTAGTCATTGATTTGTTTGAAAAATTCCATTTCTTAATCGCTTTTAACACATACATATTATTTATATATTGCATATTTATTTGTTGTTTTGCTTTGTGGCATTCTACAATTGTATTATTAATAATAC